GAGCCCGCACCGCCAGCCAGAGCCCTCACCTCCCCACCTGCACCCCAACCCCCTGCCCCAGCCTGGAGCCTCCGCCCACACTCTGAACTCCTCATTTCTGGCCCCACACCAGAGCCCACACTCCAAAACCCAATTTCGTGAGCATTCATGGCCCACCATACAATTTCCATACCCAGAGGTGGCCCTCAGACGAAAAAGTTTGCCCACTCCTGGCACAGATTGACAGTTAGCAGTGTGTGTGTGTGTGTGTCTATAAGGTATGTTCCAAGGCCAGGCCTACCTAATTTGACTTCCTTTCATAACAGAAATAAAAAGCAGAATTAAGACACAACTTACTACTGCTTTCACTGAAAAATGAAGTGTTTGACTGGCAGCTAAATACTAACCCATTGCCCAGCCATTCCATCCATCCCTCGCTCCCCACTGGGCTTGAGAACTTTTTAATAAAAAGTTAAATTCACCTTACCAACATTAGCTATTATCCAGTAATGGGGGGGGGGGCGAGGGAGGGAGAGGGGAATGCCCATCCCATGATTACAACACATTATATATAGCTACCCACACCCTTCAACTCTGCCCCTTTCCCCCGGACTGCCAAACACACACCAGAAGACAAAAATCTCTCCAACCCCAATGCTGGAGTGAGACAGTGGGTCAAAGTATGGCCAAAAGTTGAACAATCCTTGGCTTGTGTAGATGGGGGAGTGTATGTATGCACACATGTATGTACACATGCAGTAAATTCCAGAACAAAAGGATCCCTTCAAGGAGGATGTCTCACTAGCAGTTCCCTTTCATTTATACCTAAAAGATCGCCACCCCAAGTACCTCCACTGATTTCAAATGTAGCAGTATGGCATGGGGCAAGATGAAATCAGATTCCAAATCTTTGAGGCTTTACAGATCAAAACCACCACCTTGAATTCTATCCAGATGCTTTCTGGCAGCCAGTAACAGATCCCAAATCACTAGCATTACAAGCTTCTGGTGTGAAACTCCACTTAAGCGAGCTACTTAGATTTTAGTTACAATTTTAGTCTTAATGGTAGCAAACATGAGAGGGCATCATCAGTGATCCAATCTGAAGATAAAGGCAAAAGGTAACTGGCAAAGTGCACATTAGGCATATTTCTCACAAAGTGCATGTCCCTACAAACAATTGTGAGGAGCCCAAGGTCTACTAACACATTGCATTACAAACATATTATAGTTCAGGAATGTCAATAAAATCCTCATCAACTGGCAGCTTCCCTTTGCCTAAAAACGTTCCCAATCTTAATGGCATTAAATCACAGCCAGGTAGCCCTTATCAAAGCCCTACATCCATCTAGGCATTGAACAATTTCTTCTAGTGTCGCAGCCCAAACTATACATGCCATGTGACAGATCTACATGTTGTCAACATATGAACTCCATCACAGCCCATGTTTCCTAATTAACTTTCAGTGTCCTCATGTGTGAGGACAAATGATCTCTATGTACTAAAAGAGGAGGAGCCCCTGAGGCAGAGCAGCAATTGTTCATTTTTATCTCAGACAGAATGGAGCAACACTCAAGAGCAATACCATCCACCTCTGCTAGGTTCTGCAGGCAAGTCAACAAGAACCTTGTGGTCAACTGTGCAGCATCAGGTCTAAAAGAATGAACAAAAACACTACTGCTATGAGGTTGTGTTAGTTTCTGCCTCAAACCCAGTTCTATGTCTGGAACCATTGAACTTCCTTGACCCAGTAAGAGAAGCCTCAAAACCACCTTTTCAAACCCCTGATCCCTTTAAAGAAGAGAGGAGAAACTGATGAACAGTTGGTAAGATTGTCAACATCCAAAGTTTTGTTTCTTGAACAGAAGTCAACACAATTTAAGACTAGCTGGCACCCTCTACCTTCCTACACTTAGCCAAGGGGGTGAGGGGTCGGGGGGGAATGTATGTCCAACCTCATCCTCTTGGAGTTCTAGAGCTGAGAACATATACCATTAATAGAAGCTGCATTCCCGGTATAGTTCACTGAAATGTCAGAACAGGGAAAGACTGAAAACTACACCTCTCCTTAGCTATTCTGGAAATGCTGAATATATACTTCAATCCCTCCGCTTCTTTCCTGAATTCCAGTAAGTCCAGCCTATTCAAACTGCCTTTTGACCAAAAGGGATACTGTTCAAAATTCATTTAACATCTTTCTACTCCATACAGTATATGGATGTAGAAAAAAGTGTAACACTCATAAATTATGTATACAATAGGAAAAAATGTTGATTAATATTTCAGTACTGCAGCATGAGACTGACATTACATAAAAATGTTTAATTTTACAATAAACTTATTTCTATTTATCCCTGGGTGAGGACAATGAGAAGTGGGTGGGAGAAGTGACTTCCTCCACTTCAGCCTCCAGTTCCTCCTTTTCCTCTTCCGGGTTCAGAAGCCCTGAAGGCAGCAACCACAGGAGGGCGTTTCCTCGGTTGCTGTAGGTCACATTAGAGGTAAGGGACGCTTGCTGTCTTTGAGCCTGCCAAGAATCCTAGTATGGCCATTGTGATGGGAAGGGACCAGGTGGTCAGTACCATGGTTGGCCAAAGCAGGGAGGCTCTGGATCAGGGGGACGATAATCATGATGTCTATAGTGAAACTGAGACCCATATGGCGGGTGAGAAAAAAAGCGGGACACCACATCCTCTTGCTCACTTTCTGACTCCGCCGACAAGAAGGGCGGTCAGTGGCAGGAAGATGTTGGCAAGTCAAGGGCCCCAGTACTGAGCAGAGGAGAGTCCAGTGCGTCAGACACCAAAAGATCTGTTGCGCACCGGAAATCTGAAGGTATGGACAGCATCTGTACTGGTGGTTGTTGTCAGTGCCAAGAGGCTTGTATTGATAGGGTCAGAGATGTGGACCTGGTAGGAAGATCCGTCGGTGCCTGGCATACCACAGGTCGTGCCGATGTTGAAGTCGGACCAACAGAACCTTCCCTATGGCAAATCTTCTGTTTTTCGTGCCCCTGTAGTACCGCTGCTTACTTGCCTGTGCCCATTGGATCTTTAGGCAACCCAACTTGCTCTGTTGGCTCAGTACTGCGCATGCCCTGGGTACCAGATTTAGATGGCATCAGTGCCATCTGTACTTGATGATACTGACTGAGACGGAGATCATTTTCAGCTTGATTGGGGCTCGCTACAGGGACTCACAGACCTTTTCTTACAGGCCTTAAGTGAGTGGCTCATGGGCATCTCTCTGGGCTCACCTCCATTCAAAGTAGAGGGTTGTGGTGAAGGCTCCCATAGGGACTCTGGAGGTTGAAGGGCTGACTCCATGAACTGGAGTTTGAGCCCTCCTTTCTCTGTCTCTCCTGGATCTGGACTTCAGTTACTGACACAAGCCACACTTCTGTGGCATGTGTTTCTCTCCCAGGCAGCAAACACACAGAGCGTCCATCAGTCACTGAGGCACTTTTCGAAGCTCAGAGAGCTGGGCATACCCTTTTCCAGGTGGGTTGCCCTGCACAGGGGCTGGTGGGAGACAAGTCCTTTCCTTTTTTCTAAGCATGGCCAACATAAAATGCAAAAGAAAGAAAGAAAAAAGGCTTCAAAGGAAGCTAAAAATTAGCTATTCTAAAAGAGTTAACCATCTACAAACGGGTAGCTACAGCTCTGTCTCTATCCAGAGGCAGTTGAGAAGGAACCGAGGAGGGTTCCCTCTTGCATGCTTGCTAGCCTCATGGCAGGTGAGGAGCAGCTCATGTGCAGGCTGAACAGACACTGCTACCAGAGTTCTCCGATCAAACGGCACACAGACGCAGACAACTACAGTGTAGCACCCACAGGGCCACTACTCAAAGAAACAGCTGACTCTCACTGGGAGTCGTCCCCCGTCTCCCCACAATGTAATTTAATTTTGGAATTCCACATTGGAAGTTTGATTACAACAATAATGATCAGCTATTTGATAGATTACCCTAGCTCTTCTTTTATTTTCCCATCAAAATTTATCCCAGCAATATTGAAGACTTTGCAGCTCAATGGGTTTACAAGAGAATAATCTTCCCATGAACCAAGTCTCCGAGCAACTCATATGTTCCAACTTTCTCCTACCACATGCATTGCTTAGTTGTACTAAGGTTAAAAATAAATTAAGTCATCTTTTGTGAGAAATAATTTTTTTTTAAAAAGTTACAGTTCCATGACTAGCAGCTTTCTATGCAGCTTTACAAAGTTGTGGTATGTATGACAATAAATATTGCACTTTTAAAGTGAACATGTCAATGCTGGTTAGAATCTAATGTGCAACCATCACACTGAAATTCTAATGTTAAAGTATTTCCATTATCTTTCCTTGAGACATATATAGAATGCTCATCTCATAGCTGTCAGTGTACACAATGTAGAATCAAAGAGTAAATATCATCCTTCCTTATCCCCAGAGCTTTTATTTATGCAGCAGAGACAATTTGAAGATGATGTAAATAGGGATGATCTGTGTCTGAGTAAGTTTCTGCATTCAGTTCACTCTAAAGGTAACAATAAGACCCGCATTACAAAAAGCAAGCTTAAACACCTTGAAGGCATCAGTACTATGAAACTAAGTGCTTTAGTGTGCTTGTTCAAATGTCAAGGTCCAAGGACTCCTGACTGACAGCCTCATGACAGCTGAAATAAATGAACACATGATAAAGACTGGATGTGGTTCTGCAGTTTATCATAAACCTTTCATACCTCATCTGCACCCTGACCAATAATCGCTCTTCAAGACTAGCATCCAAAATCTCCACACATCTTTCAAACAGCTGTGATTTTATTTTTTAAAAAATGGTTTTAAAAGACTGTCACAGAGAGGTTTCTTTCAGTACCTCCAACATGCATAGTATTTCCCCTAAGAAGTTGTACTGGTCGAACTTCTCATTCTGAGATTTTTGTATAGTGTAAGTAACAGCCAAATTGCTGTTCCTTCAGACACCTATGATTTCTATCTGGAGTGAAGCGCTTGAAGAAATAAAACTCTTCATACATACAATTGACTCAGTTACTCTGGGAGATGAAAGGCACAGGAATTTTGTGAAGTAAGTCTTTGCTTGAATTGACAGAATCCATTCATCATTTGTTATGCCAGTCCAGGCTGTAATAAAAACAAAACAACAAAAAAACGTGTAGGATTTTCTATTAACTGTGAAGAAGAGCAAAGATATAGAAAGATTACATTCCAGACTGCCTGCCCTGGGAGATTACAAGAACTTTTTCTCCAAAAATACCATTCAAAACAGTATCCAGCTTATGATTAAAATAAGCCTCCCCAGCTGACAGGGTCGTCCCTACGGAGGCACAGGGCCTGGGACATAGGCACCAACTTTCAAATCTGCCAGGGGGTGCTCTCCCTCGGTTCCACCCAGGCCTTGCCCCGACTCTACCCCTTGCCAAAAGGCCCCACCCCCGACCTGCTTCTACCCACCCTCACTCTGCCCCCGCCCTGCCTCTTCCCACCCCACCCTTTTCCCTGCCCAGTTCCACCCGTCCCCTAAGCATGCTGCACCCTCGCGCCTCTCTCCTCCCCACCAGCGCCTCCTGATGCCACAAAACATCTGATCCACGGGAGGTGGTAGGCGCTGGGGGGGGAGAAGGGGAGGTGCTGATCGGCGGGGCCTGCCAGTGGGCAGGAGGCACTGGGAGGAAGGGGAGTTTCTGGTAGGGGGGCTCCTCCTCGCCCACCTGCCTGCTGCTCACCTGCCCATTCACCTCCTCACCTCACTCGCCCACCCACCTCCTCATGCCCACCTCCTCATGATTTTATCGAAGCGCGGGGCCCAGAGTGGTCACCTCAAGTCGCCGTGCCCAAGAGATGGCTCTGCCAGCTGAAAATGGTCAGATTACCCACGTATTCTCTTGATCAAAAACATAGTCAAGTGCTTTGACTAGCAAATCAATGGCACTGTAGTCATTTGACCAACTTGCCATCCACATCTAACTCAACTGTCCATGCAATTAGTTTTTGAAAGAGACTTCCCAAATTCCCTCAGAACAGGAAACTCAGGCCAAACTTTGCAACTATGAGTGGCCCGAAAATTAGGCTCTTACATGTATCTTACACTAAGCAATTAAATACAGAGTTGCTTGACTTTGGAGTGCTGTGCTCTCACAAATCCCATAGAGGTCAATGAGAGCTGCAGGTGCTCTGCCTATCTAAAAGTATGAAAGTTTGAAGATTACAGCCTTCATTACCTTACTTGCATGTGGCTGGTTAGCCATTCTACAGCAGCCCTAGAAACGTAAAAAGGACACATTGTAGCACCTAAGACAGTTGTAGAAAGTTCAGCTTCAATGAACTCTGCAGTCCAAAATATTCCTTGGGTAATATTGTCTTCACTTGATATTGAAGATTTCATGCAATTCGGCCACAGATGGACCTACATAGGGAGCAGTTAACTAGATATCCTTAGTTAACTTGTAATGTATGAATTTTTCCAGAGTAGCCCAGCAACTACCCACTAGTTCAGGGGTGGGCAAACTACAGATCCGGCCCACAAGCTGTTTTAAGCTGGCCTGCGAGCTGCACCACGCGCCTTGGCCCCACTCTAGCCGGGGCGCTGGGTCGGGCCCGCACCACACAGCTCCCGGAAGCTGCAGCATGGCCCCACTCCAGCTCCTACGCACTCCAATGGGAGCTGCAGGGGTGGTGCCTGCGGATGGGGCAGTGTGGAGAGCCGCCTGGCCACACCTCCGTGTAGGAGCCGGAGAAGGGACATGCCACTGCTTCCGGGAGCCACTTGAGGTAAGCACTGCTTGTAGCCTGCACCCCCTGAGCCTCTCCCCACACTCCAAACCCCTGCCCCAGGCCTGATCCCCGTCCCGCTCTCCAAACCCCTTGATCCCAGCCCGGAGCACCCTCCTGCACCCCAAACCTCTCATCTCCAGCCCCACCCCAGAGCTCACACCCCCTCCCACACCCCAACGCCAATTTTGTGAGCATTCATGGCCTGCCATACAATTTCTATTCCCCGATGTGGCCCTCAGGCCAAAAAGTTTGTCCACCCCTGCACTAGTTAGAGGGGGAAATCTTGGTCTGACTCCTTTTTTAGTGTCTTCCATGTAGATAGTTACACACTATCTTTACCCTGTTCAATTACAGGTTAAAATTTTAAGGGTGCCTAGTATGTGCTTTATGCATGATGCCCCAGGGTTCTACACATCCAAAAACTCTGCTTTTATCTTCAGTCAGGTAGAATAAAGGTTTCTGCACAAGTTCAACGCTCAAAGCACAAGATCAGAAACACAGCCCTGGTCCACCACTGCTACACAGATACCCTCTCAGGTTTCAGAGGGAAGGCCTGAACAAAGCAGGAGACATTCTCTCAAGGTAACCTCCTTCCTAAAGAAATCTTGTTGAAATCACATTTTGATCCTGGATACAAGAACCGGTCTTACTGTGCTGCTCCTAAACTGATCAAGTCTGCATAACTCAGGTCTCTATTTCTTGTTCCTCAGGAAAAGTTTTCTTTTATACCCACACACACAGCAAGGGTGACCCCTCATAATGAGTTAACAGTGGACACTTCCTTTGAAGTGGTACCAAAAGATGCTCCACCAGCTGTGCAAGCAGGGCAAAAAGATCCTGTTACAGAAGCCTACAAAACCAACAGAAGATTAACATTTACAGCCTTGTTTCTTTCTGGTGGGCACTTTTTTTACCTGGAGATTTCCTTTTAGCACAGCATTAAGAAGTGTACAATATACAAAGTTTAAAGATTACTTATTGGATAGCAAAAAAAAAAAAAAGCCTTTGTTTATGCAGCATGGAGTTTCCCAGTGCCCTTACAGAACATAAAGTTTAGGAAAACTCAAATTTCAGAAAATTCCAATAGGAGTGTGCGCGTGCCACATGAACGATCGCCAGAAGCCTTTTCCTAGTGGTACCTGTCGGGTCGACTGTGGAGACCCCTAGAGTGGCACCTTCATGGCAGTGTATATATATCCCTGCCGACCCGCCACCTGCTCAGTTCCTTCTTGCCGGAGTACTCCAACAGTGGGGTGGCGGGCGGGATTTGGAATGGACATGAGCAACACATCTCGAAGAACAACAGTTACAAGAGGTAAGTAACCGTTTTTTCTTCTTCAACTGATTGCTCGTGTGCATTCCAATAGGTGACTTCCAAACAGTTACCCCGGGGGAGGGGTCGGAATTCACCAAATTGCCGAGTGCAGGACTGCCCTACCAAACCCAGCACCATCCCTCGCCTGCTGGGTAATGGCGTAGTGGGAACTGAAGGTGTGAAATGAAGACCAGGTTGCCGCCTTGCAGATGTCCTGGATAGGGACCTGCGCCAGGAAAGCTGCAGACACTGCCTGCGCTCTGGTAGAGTGCACCGTAATTGGCGGGGTTGGAACTTTAGCCAAGTCATAGCAAGTCCCGATGCAGAACGGGATGCATGACGAGATGCACTGTGATGAGATTGGGAGGGAGTCCTAATTCTTTCCCCCCTAATTCTTTCTGCAAGAGCAATAAAGAGCTGTAGTGACTTCCAAGGCGGCTTTGTGCGTTCAGTGTAAAAAGCTAAGGCCCATCTAACGTCCAAGGAATGGAACATGCGCTCCCTGTTTGTGGCATGGGGTTTAGGGAAGAACAGAGGTAAAAATATGTCCTGGTTCACATGAAACTGGGAGACAACCTTAGGCAGGAACGCAGGGTGGGGGAGCAGCTGCACCCTGTCTTTATAAAATACCGTGTAAGGCGGTTCGGAGGTCAGTGCTCTGAGTTCGGATACCCTTCTAGCAGAGGTTATAGCCACCACGAAAGCCACTTTTCAGTGAAGGTAGGAGAGAGGGCAAGTAGCCCTGGGCTCAAAGGGGGGCCCCCATGAGCGATGACAGGACCAGGTTGAGATCCCAGGGGGGGACGGGCAGACGTACTGGAGGATAAAGTCTGTTGAGGCCCTTAAGAAACCTGCTCACCAGGGGATTACCAAACACTGATCCCCCCACCGTTCCCAGGTGGAAGACCGAAATGGCCGCAAGGTGTACCCTTAGGGATGATATTGCTAAACCTTGGTACTTTAGATCTAAAAGATAGTCCAAAATAAGGGGAATTAGGGCTGATTGTGGCTCAGTTCCCCTTTGTTGAGACCAAATGGAGAAACACTTCCACTTAGCCAGGTACGTGGCTCGAGTGGAGGGTTTCCTACTCCCCAACAGGACCTCCCTAACTGAGTGAGAGCACTGAAACTAAAAAGGTGGACTAAAAAGCCATGAGGTGGAGTGACTCTGGGTTGGGGTGCTGTAGACAACCGTGGTCCTGTGATATTAGGGTGGGACATAGAGGGAGCGCTACTGGTCTGTCCGCTGAGAGGTTCAGTAGCATGGTGAACCAGTGGTGGCGGGGCCACGCTGGCACTATGAGGATTAAGGAAGCCCTGTCCTGACGAGTCTTGAGGAGCACCCTGTGTATGGGGGGAATGGCGGGAATGCATATAGCAGGTGACCCGTCCATGACAGGTGAAAGGCGTCCACTGTGGAGCCTGGGCTGTGGTTCAGGAAGGAGCAGAATCTCTGGCAGTTCCTGTTGCTCCGCGTCATGAACAGGTCCATGTGGGGAGAGCCCCACCTCTGGAAAATTGAGTGAGCAATGTTCAGCCTGAGGGACCACTCGTGAGGCGGTCTGCCAGCTCGATCTGCACCCCCGGAAGGTGCGATGCCTGCAGGTGTGTGGAGTGGGCAATGCAAAAGTCCCACAGTGAGAGGGCTTCCCGACAGAGGAGAGAGGAACAAGCACCACCCTGTTTGTTTATATAGAACATAGCTGCAGTATTGTCCATGAGCACTGATATGCACATGTCCTGAAGATGGGCATGAAAAGCTTGGCATGCCAGGCGAACCACCCCCAGCTCCCTCATGTTGATATGCAGCGATAGCTCTGCCTGGGTTCTGACATTGTCCAGATGCACTCCCCAACCAAGCGCCGAGGCATCTGTGACAAGGGAAAGCATGGGCTGCGGTGAAGGGTACTCCCGCACAAACCAGCTGTGGTTGCAGCCACCTTTAGAGAGAGTGGAGAATTTGAGGTGGGAGAATCACTATTGAGTTCAGTGGGTCCCTGCCCGGTCTGTGCACCTGCACTAAACACGTCTGGAG